ACTGTTTTCCATAGCAACTGCACCATTTTACATTCCAACCTATAATGTACAAGTTTTCCCATTTTTCCGCGTCCTTATCATCCAGTTTTTGTTTGTTGTTTTCATAATATCTATCCTAATGGATATGAAGTCATATCTCATTATAGTTTTAAATTGCATCTTTGAAATGTTATTGAGTATCTTTTCACTGTAGGTTTTTTGGTATTTGTCCTTTATGAGGTCAAGGAAGTTTGCTTCTTTTTCCTTTTTGCTAACAGTTTTTACTGTGAATGTGTGTTGAATTTTTTCAAAAATTTTTTTCAAACGTTGTGAAAATTATATAATCTTTAAAAGTCTTTAATGGGAATGTAGTTGATTTACAATGTTGTGTTACTTTCTACATATATATATACACCCATTCCTTTTTAGATTCTTTTTCCATATAGACCATTATAGGGTACTGAGTAGAGCTGCCTTTGCCATACAGCAGGTTCTAATTGTTTTCCGTTTTACATATAATAGTATATATGTGGGCTTCCCTGTTGGCTCAGATGGTAAAGATCCACCTGCAATGTGGGAGACCTGGGTTCGATCCCTGGGTTGGGAAGATCCCAGCCCACTTCAGTATTCTTGCCTGGAGAATCCCATGGACAGAGGAGCCTGGTAGGCTACAGTCCATAGGGTCTCAAAGAGTCAGACACGACTGAGGCAACTTAGTACACATGCACAGTATATATATGTCGTCCCAATCTCCCAATTTATTCCTCCCCTCTCCTTATCCTCTGGTAACTCTAAGTTTGTTTTCTATATCTGTGACTCTACTTCTGTTTTGGAAATAAGTTCTCTTATACCCTTTTTTTTTAAAGATTTCACATGTAAGCATTATCATATGATATTTGTCTTTCTCTGTCTGACTTACTTCACCCAGTATGATAATCTCTAGGTCCCTCCACGTTGCTGCAAAAGGCATTATTTTGTTCTTTTTCACTGCTGAATAACATTCCATTGTATATGTTTATCACCTCTTCTTTATCTATTACTCCATTGATGGACATTTAGGTTGCTTCCATGTCCTGGCTATTGTAAATAGTGCTACAGTGAACATTGGGGTGCATATATCTTTTTGAGTTATTGTTTTTTTTGGGTATATGCCCAATAGTTGGATTGTTGGGTCATATGGTAATTCTATTTTTAGTTTCTTAAGGAACCTCCGTACTATTCAGTATTCAGTGTACTATTCAGTATACTATTCAGCCATAGTAGTGGCTGTACTACTTTACATTCCCACCAACAGTATAGGAGGATTCTAGGATTATCTAATTTTTTTTAATTGACAACTTTTTCTAGTTTTATTGAGATGTCATTCATATATAACATTATGATTCATATATGACATATGTAAGCTTAAGTTGAACAACACAGCTAATGTATTGAAAAACTAAACTTATTGCAAACTTACAGCAATAAGTTTAGTTTCCATTCATCATCTCAGTTTAATATAAATAGATATGGATGTGAGAGTTGGACTATATAGAAAGTTGAGCACCGAAGAATTGATGCCTTTGAAGTATGGTGTTGGAGAAGACTCTTGAGAGTCCCTTGGACTGCAAGGAGATCCAACCAGTCCATCCTAAAGGAGATCAGTCTTGGATGTTTATTGGAAGGACTGATGCTAAAGCTGAAATTCCAATACTTTGGCCACCCGATGCGAAGAGCTGACTCATTTGAAAAGACCCTGATGCTGGGAAAGATTGAGGGCAGGAGGAGAAGGGGATGACAGAGGATGAGATGGTTGGATGGTGGCATCACCGACTTGATGGACATGAGTTTGGGTAAACTCTGGGAGTTGGTAATGGATAGGGAGGCCTGACATGCTGCAGTCCATGGGATCGCAAAAAGTTGGATACAACTGAGTGACTGAACTGAACTGAACTGTGTTTTAAAATTTATTTATTTTTAATTGGAGGATAATTACTTTACAGTATTGTATTGATTTCTGCTGTACATCAACTTGAATCAGCTATAGGTATACATATGTCCCTCCCTCTTGAACCTCCCTCCACTGCATGCCACCCCTCTCGGTTATCACAGAGCACTGAATTTGAGCTCCGTACATCATAGAGCAAATTCCCACTGGCTGTCTGTTTTACGTATTGTAATGTATATGTTTCAGTGCTACTCTCTCAATTCGTCCTTCCCTCTCCTTCTTCCAGTGTATCCACTGAACCTGCAAATAGGTTCATCAGTACCATCTTTTAGATTCCATGCATATGTATTAATATATGATATTTGTTTTTCTCTTTCTGGCTTACTTCACTTGGTATAAGCTTTGGCTTCAGCCACCTCAGTAGAACTGACTCAAATGTGTTCTTTTTTATAACTGAGTAATATTCCATTGAAGTTATGTACCATAACTTCTTTATCTACTCACCTGTTGATGGACATCTAGGTTGCTTCCATGTCCTGGCTATTGTAAATACTGCTGCAATGAACATTGGGGTGCATGTATTTTTTTGAATTATTGTTTTATCTGGGTATATGCCCAGTAATGGGATTGCTGGATCATATGGTAGTTCTATATTTAGTTTCTTCAGGAACCTCCATAATGTTTTCCATAGTGGCTATACCAATTTACATTCCTTTGAACAGAATAGGAGGGTTCCAGGATTATCTGATTTTTATATGTTGAATATTATCGTGACAGGTAGTTAAACAAGTTACTTACATGCCAGCTTGATTCATTTGAAGTATTTTTTTAATTAAAAACTTCATTGAGATAATTATAGATTCAGATGGAGTTATAAGTAATACAGAGAGATCTCTATGCACTTAACTCATTTCCCCTCTAAGGCAACATTTTGCAAAACTGTAGTATAAATATCAAAACCAGGATATTGACATTGATTCAATTCACTGATCTTATTCAGATTTCTCCAGTTTTAATTATATAGTCATCCCTAGGTATCCACAGGGGATTGGTTCCAGTAGTCCTCGAGGATATAAAAATTTGGTAGTATTCATGTCCCTTATATAAAATGGCATAATGCAGGGAATGCACTTGGCCCTCTGTATCTGGGACTTCCCTCTCAGCTGTGCTGTACTCACTTAGGTGTGTGTATTTCTATACAGTTTATCACCTGTGTAGGTTCATGTATCCACTGCCTTAGTCAAGATACTGAACAACTGCATTACCACAAGAATTCCTTGTATTGCTCATCATTTTACAACCATACCTATTCACCCTCCATTTCTATATCCTGGCAACCACTAATCTGTTCTCTATTTCTAAAATTCTGTCATTTCAAGAATGTTATATAAATAAGAAACCTTGTAACTTTTTAAGATTGGCTTTCTTTTTTTCACTCAGCTTAGTTCAGTGGATCATCTTTCAAGCTGTTGAATGTATCACTGTCTCTGGAAATGGCTCATCTCACAGCTTTCTTTGCCTCCTGTCATGAGGTATCACCCTACATGTGAACAGCTGTTATTCAGCGAAAGACTGAAGAGTGCCCATGTGTTGGTTTCTGGGGCTCTTTCATTGTATAGCTGCCTCCTCTCTGGCACTTTGCCTCACAAATTTCACCTGCATTTTGGACTCCCACAGTCCTGATCTTTCAGCCCAACTCAGTTAGACCCTGGTATTTTACATGGATTCCCTCTTTCTGTGCAACAATCTGAAAAGTGCCTGCGAGCTAAAACCTGGAGTGACATAGGGCTCATCTTCTTAATACAGTTGTCTGCTGATGGGCAATTAGGTTGCTTCTACATCTTGGCTGCTGTAAATAGTGCTGCTGTGAACATTGGGATGCATGCATCTTTTAAAGTTTGTGTTTTCATTCTTTCCAGATACATACCCAAGAGTAGAATTGCTGGATCATATGGTAGTTCTATTTTTAGTTTTTAAAACTGTCTCCATACTGTTTTCCATAGCTACTGCACCAATTTACATTCCCACCAACAGTGTACATGGGATGGTGGAAGAAGCCATGAGGATGAGAGATAAGACCACCATTCCCTGGCCTGCCTGCTGGGGAATGCTGGGTGTGATAATGAACTTGATCACTTTCAGTGTCCCCAGAGCTCTGGGCTTTCTGTGAGGGAATAGGCTTCCTGTGCATGCCTTGTTAAATGCTCAGCCTGTTGATTCTTCAATTACTAATGTGATCATAGTGATTAAAAGTTTCAGAGTGCTTAAAGTTGGATAATTTAATTATAAAGGTTAACTGTATCTGAATTTCTTCAAGTAGCCCTCTTTCAAAAGCCTATATTCTCAGCTTTTAAAAAAAGTATTATAATTGTCAATTATCTAGCTCTAATCTACATCTGTTATTTATTTGCAATTTTTATGTTAGATGCTAGTCTATATTTTATTATTTTTCACTGGTGAATTTTCCATATTGTCTAAGACAGTTCCACAGACTTCCCTGGTGGCTCAGATGGTAAAGAATCTGCGTATGATGTGGGAAACCCAGGTTTGATCCTTGGGTCTGGAAGATCCCCTGGAGAAGGGAATGGCTACCCCACTCCAATATTCTTGCCTGGAGAATTCCATGGACAGAGGAGCCTGGTGGGCTACAGTCCACATGGTTGAAAAGAGTCAGACATGACTGAGTGACTGACACTTTTTTCATGCTAAGTAAGGGCCATTACTTATTTTGTTTATTATTATTTTAAATGATAAAATAATTATTTTATTTATACTGGTAACTTTCAGAAGAGAAGCTGACTAATAAATAATCTGTAAATCTTGCCAGTTTATGAACATAGTTATCTGGAAGAAATAGTCCCCGGAGTGCTAACTAAATGTTGTATTTCCTAAAAAGAGGATTTTAACAGAAAAGAATATCAACATTTTATTTTTAGGTAGTTTAACATAAGAAATAAACACTTCTTTTTTTTTTTTTAAAAGTAACATAGTGTTAAGTTTTCCAGTAGCAGAGTGTTGGTTCATTATCCCAAAGCTAATGAACAATCATTAGAGCAATCAGTACATACTGTTTAATAGTATTTTTTTTTTTAAGGTACAGGGAAAACAATGGTGATGGACATGTTTTATGCTTATGTGGAAATGAAGAGGAAAAAACGTGTTCATTTTCATGGTTTCATGCTAGACGTTCACCAAAGTAAGTTGATGATCTGAAAGAAGTGATTTTTAAGTGGCCAAACACTGCAAAATAATTTTCCTCATTTTAAAGTTCTTAATCTAAAAAATTTGATTTTTGCTAAAAGTAAGATTTTATTTAGCTTCATTTGTTTTGTGCTATATTGAAACAATTAGTAATGTGTCCAGAGTTGGTCCTAGAGACAAATTCATTCCTTCCAAATCAGAGAACAGAGGTTACTCTGTGAAGGCCAGACTTTTCCTCTGTCTACTAAGGATCAATAAGAAATGTTAAAGCCGCACCCGTCTCACCAAGGTATTCTTGATTAGGCCGTTTCCTCTGTGTCACCTTAGCATGTAGGCATTCAGTTTGTTCTTATATGTATGCTTTATTGCTTTGTCAGTGTTCTTACGTTATTTCATCTTTGCATTATTTGTTTACCAGCCATCCTGTAACCTCCTCAGGGCAGGAATATTGTACTTTTCTTTGAATACTTTCAGCATTTAGTAACATAGTGAATAAAGTGGGACTGGCTGTAAGTAAGGAAACATCCTGATTAGACGTGCCAGACATAGAGGGCAGGGTGACCTCCGGTGCCTGCATCCCTGAAGTCCTCAGGGCTAAGATCCATCTGTTGATCCATCAGCCACCATCTAATCATCTGTTCTGTCACTGTGTCATCTCCAAAGTGGCTGAACAGTGGAGACAGAATGACCACAGAATGTCCTTACAATCATGGGAATGTAGTAATATGCGAACAATTTATTTTGAGGTAGAGAAACGGCAGCCAGCCGTAATAATCATATTTGCTTTTATGTGAAATTTAAACTTCATTTGTATATTCATTGTTTCATTTAGAGGTTTAAAAAGTGTGTACTTAGTTGCCTAAAATGTACTTTTAGTACAATATTTGATTTGTGTTTAATTTCATCCATTTAAGGGATACACCGCCTTAAACAGAGTTTGCCAAAGAGGAAACCAGGATTCATGGCTAAATCATACGATCCAATAGCTCCTATAGCTGAAGAAATTAGTGAAGAAGCATGTCTCTTATGTTTTGATGAGTTTCAGGTAAGGTAGAGCTGTTTCATAGATGTAGAATGGTATACTGAGTGAAGTGTGAGTATTTCAATTCTGTTCCTCATTTTATCAGTTTTTATAAATTGATTTAATACTTTATCTCTTACAACTTTAATTTTATTATCTAGTCCTTGCGTCAGCACAGCATGACTTGCACAGGGCAAATTGACCCACCTGCTTTTGTATGGCCAGTGAGAAAAGAAAGATTTTTATATTTTTTAAAAAAAGGAAAAGAGGGCTTTGCTGGTGGCTCATTGGTAAAGAATCCACCGGCCAGTGCAGGAGAGGCAAGTTCTGTCCCTGGCCTGGGGGGATCCCACGTGCTGTGAGCCTGCACTGTGAGCAGCCTGGAAACCTCAGCTCTCAGCAACTGAAGCCCATGAACCTGGGGCCTGTGCCCCTCCACAAGAGAAGCCGCTGCAATGAGAAGTTTGCATGCTGTGACGAAGCATAACCCCTGCTCACCACAAATAGAGAAAGACCTGCACAGCAACAGAGACCCCGAACAGCCAAAACTAAATAAATAAATAAATGAAGTTATTAAAAAAAGACTAACGAAAATGCATCAGACAGCCTACACTGCTGGCAAAACCTGAAATGTTTACTATTCTTCCTTTTGTAGGAAGCTTGCCTAGCCTATATTCTAATCAATGGATTCACATTTCCCCTACATCATGATGTGTGGGAAATAATATTATGATTACAAAATAATGTCTTTAAAGATATTTAAAGTTTTTTTTTTAAGTGTTATATAAAAAATAAGGGATTCACACATCTCATTTAAGCTTCATCACTTATCTTTGATGAAGGAAGGGAATTGCTCTAGTTGAAATTTTAAAGTTTGTTCTGGTTTTAGGATTTGAAATTGTGCATTTAAATTGGTAATATGTTATTTCCTGGTCTTTATTTCTTATGAGAGCAATTATCGCATCAAGGCAAACAATGTCTTATGCTTATTCTGTGTCCTCTGTATCCCAGTGTTACAGTAGTAGTGATAGTAAAAATAACAGCAACAATAATAATGATACAAGATACTCTAGGTTAAGAACTATTTTCTCTTTATTTGACTGTTCTTTTTGGTAGTTCTGAAATGTTTTTTCTAAGATGCTTACCATAAGTGCAATTGGTTATTGGAATGAAAATAGAAAAATCCATGAGTACTGAATATAAGCTTAAAATAAATCCGTGAGTATTGAATATAAGCTTAAAAACAGGGCATCACACCCAAAACTTTTGAAAAAATATTTCTGGACCCGAGTGCAGAAACTCCTGTGTCTGATTGCCTAGGATAAAGGCCCAGAGAACTTTCAAGAGTAGGAGACTAACATTAGTTATATGCCTACCCGTGGCTCAACTGGTAAAGATTCTGCCTGCATTGCGGGAGACCTGAGTTCAATCTGTAGTTTGGGAAAATCCCCTGGAGAAGGGAATGGCTACCCACTCCATTATCTGGCCTGGTGAATTTCGTGAACTATATAGTCCATGGGTGTCTCAAAGAGTCGGACACGATTGAGCGACTTTCATTTTTCACTTTACCTCAAGGCAGGCCCTGTGTGACTCATGCATCTCATCTAAGCCTCACAATGTATTTGTAATGAAGTGAGGAAATTGCCCTGGTTGAATTTTAAAGTTTCTTCCAGTTTTAAGATTCTCTGAAATTATGCATTTAAATTGGTAGTGCATTATTTCTTGTTCGTCTGTGCGAGTTAGTGGGTAGATCTTTGGCCGAGATGCCTTTATCCTAAATGAGGCAAGTAGGTCTCCTCTAGCAACTCAATACACACAGCTCACAACCGTCTCAGTTTATGATAGAGGAGAAAGGAGAATTTTTTTTTTTACCAGGAATGGTGTTACACGGAACCATCTGGGGAGGAGGAATTTTTACCTCTTTCTCCCTTCAATCGTATTCAGACAGCCTGGCACTCACATTCACCCGTTGTATTGTAGAACTACAAAGGTCTTCAGAAGAAAGGCTTATGGAAAGAGATGTTCCTCAGCTGCTCTGAAGAGGTACGCTGAGTACAGGAGTGTACTATAGAAAGAGAAGGGCCTTATTAGTTCTAAAAATAGCGCTGAGTTATGTGGTCTTCAACAAGTCAGTGATGAGTCACTGAAGGACATCTCTCTTGGTTTCTCATTATGAGTTTTAATCAAAATATCTCTAAACAAAATTGAATCGACAGAGTTAAATTTTTTTTCCCCTTAGAAACAGAAGTCTTATTGAAACAGGGAAACCAGTGATGTGAACAAAGCACTACTTCTGTATGTTACTTGTGTTGTATCAGCTTTTTAAAACAAAATAAACTTTTAGGCACACGACTCTCAGTACTTTCTTTTGCCACAGTTATCAGGTATTCAACATGTTAAATTTTTGATTAAAGGGTATTGAAATTAAAAAATTTAAAGTATATTATTATGCAAACTTTGTTAAGTAATTCATGGCTCACAAAGTGTCCTTGCTTCACTTAATTCTATTAAATAGTTATTCTGCATGATGGAAATAATTAATAGAATTGGCAGGACCATTGACAGGACTGTTTAAGAAAGTTAGGAGAAGATAAAAATCTGTTTGTGCAAAGGAGATCCTGAGAAGATTTATGCCAAGCAGGGCCAAATTACCCACTACAGGTACAGTGCTGAGGGTCCATGATACTTTTAGGGGCCCATGATGATAATTTCTAATTTGGAGAAGAAATGAATATATCAATAATGAATCCAGCCTGTTATCTGTCTGTATCTATACTATATTTGGTTATACCAACACAGTTATAAAATGCAGTTTATATGTATATGATGTATATTTATATATATGTTTAAATAAATTTATAATTTAATTAAGGAAAGGTCTTCTGAAGGTTAAAGGGCCCATGAAAATCATATTGCCATCCTAATAGTGAGGTCCTAACAGAAACCTGTCTGATTGCTGGGTATTCTCTATTGAGTTCAAATTTTAGAAGATTGATACATGGTTGTGAAGAAGGAAACAAAAGCAGCTATCTATCGGGATGAATCAAGTATTGTAAATGAAATGTAAGGCAACAGAAAAGATTTTTCAAATTATGTATTAAGGGAGATCAAGAGGGAGACAGACCCCTTGCTTATAAAAGGTTGCTTGCTAACAAAGAGAAAGTGAATGCGACGGAGCGGTCTGTCATCTCCTGCCTTATCCAGAGTTGGTTCATTCATTCATTTACTCATTCGCCCCAGTTGTCTTAAAGAGGCTTATTCCTTTCTATAGGACCCTATCTGTCCCACAGTCACATGGATCATGTCAAGACATCTGATCCATGAGTAGCTAGTCTACAAGCTTGTCAACACCCTTGGGCTTGCATGGTGTGGCCTAGTGATTAAGCCAGTCATACACTTTTACTTGTGTATTTGAACTAAAAGGTGCAGAGGGAAGTTCCCACATAGTAATGAGCCAGGAACAAAGAGATTTAGGAAGTAGCTGAATCACATTAGCGGGAGGAGTACCAGAGTCCTCCCTAGACAGCTGCTGAGTTCTCCAGAGCGACCTGTAATTTCAGGCCTATTTCCAGCACCAGTTCCCAGGAGGTGCTTTCAGTGCTATTTCATCCTGGGATCTCGAGTATAAACAATCCATTTCCTTTAGTTGAATCTCCTGTTTCTTGCAAAGAGTTTTGATGAGAAAGGAACTATTCATGTCTTGCTTTTATCTTCTGTGTTGAAAAAATTTTTCCTGTGATCTAGAACAGCTAGAGTGAATAGAAGTAAAGTAATGTGAGGAAATGTCATCTTCCTTAATATCTGTTATCTCTAATGGGAGGAGGTTTACCTTGATGAACCAAAGCCCAAGAAAAGCAAAGAAAAGAGGTATATATTAGGATGCTTTTGGCTGCAGGTAACAGAAAACCCAACTTAAAAGGGCTTAAACTCTAAGACAGGATATATTATAAGATGGGATTATAAGGTGGGAGAAAGGAATGGCAACCCACTCCGGAATTCTTGCCTGGGAAAGTCTATGGACAGAGGAGTCTGGCAGGCTACAGTCCATGGGGGTCACAAAAAGTTGGACACAACTGAGTGACTAAGACTTTCACTTTTCAAGATGGTGTCATCCCCCTTGCTCAACCCTCCCCCGCCGCCACTTCCTCTCTAACCTTATCACCCTTACTTTCAGACTCACTGAATGCTCCCTACTTTTTCCAATCCTATTTTCTTCATAGATTAGGGGACCATAGTTAATGGCAGTTTTTATACCAAATGCTTGTTTCTCACCAGAGTTTTGAAAAAAATATGCACAAAGGCAACAGAACGAGACTGAAAAATAACTTGATTGCTTTTATTTGCTCCCGTATTTCAGGGTAGCATGCTAGTATGGTAGCGTTTACCCTCTTCCCTTGAGCAACGTTGGCCTGAATGTCCTAGAATGAAAAATGTTAATAGTCTTGCTCTTTTGTTTTCCCTGCAGTACCAAACCTGAACCTTGGAGCTTACCACTGCATGCAAGGAAAAACTAGTATTTGCATATATCTTTTGGAGAAAAGCCAGGAAAAGCGAGCATATAAAGGCAAGAATGAGGGCAGAGTTGATCACTGAGCAGAGCCTAGATTTCCTAGTTTCAGTATCCTGTGGACTATCTTCCACTGGTCTTAGAAGAGCTCCTGCTAGTACATCGGAACTCGGTTAACTGCCAGTTCAGGTCTCTACTTGTCCTCCTTTTCTAAAAATCAAGAGGGTAAAATGATAACTCAGAGTATTGCTGCATCAGCACTCTGACCCCAGCGTCTGTACAATTTGGAACAAACAAGCCAAGCCTTTGCACTTTCTGCGTGGAATGGCCTCCCCTACATGTCCATCAGGATACTCTCTTACTTCTTCAGATCTTTGCTTAGTTACTTAACAAGGCCAATGCCCTGTTTAAAAATACAATTGACTCCCACACTTCTAAAGCCCCTATCCTTTTTTTTTCCATAACATATATTACCTCTGACATATATCTACTTATTTATTATTTACTACTTATTATACATATTTCTCTACAGGAATGTAAACTCGAAGGTTGTTTTGCTAATTGATGTATCTCAAATGTCTAAAACAGTGCTTCAGTATAAATGAGTGAACAAATAATAGTGAGTGAGCAAATGAATGAATAAATCTTAGTATCAATTAATATTTATTGAAGTTATTGAAGTAGTCCCCCAACTAAGCCCACTTCCTTCATATATAACAACCTGCATTTATTCCTGTCAATATTCTGAATTATCTTAGCATTTTTGTTCTAATAGGTGAAAAATGGGATCTCATTGTTTTAATTATATTCTTTTAAGTAATAATATGGTTTGTCTTTTCTGTATCTATTTGCTTACTGTTAAATCCATCTTTTGTGAACTAACTGTTGGATTCAGTGACCATTTATTTATTAGGGTGCTTTTATTCTATTAGTGTATGCTGTAATAATATTAGCTATTGTTTACTGAGTGTTTTCCATGTGCCTGTGTTCCTAACTACTGTACTATGCCATGTATCATTCCATCTACAGCTAAAATTCTATACAGTTATATATAAATCATATGGTCTTATCCTAGCATACATAACATATAGAGGTAATAGTCATAATGAACATTTCTTGAGGATTTACTATATGTATCATAATGATTTTGCAAGGTAGTTGTGGTTACTGCCTTTATTGGATTGATGAGAGAATTAAGGGTCAGAGAAGTTAAGTTACTTTTCCAAGGTTACAGAGCTGGTAACTCAGTTTGAATCCATCATCAGTGCTCTTATTCACTAGTAATAAAGGCTATGTTGTATGTTCTCTTTGCTATATGTCTTCTATTATATGTTTAAATATATAGACCTAGAACTAGGTGGGCTTTTAGAAAATCTTTTAATGATAGAGTGTAGAAATTATCTTGCTAGTGCAGAGTTTTTAGGCACTTTAATCTCTATGACAGTGTGTCTGTAATCACCACTTCACTTTTAAAATTGAATCTTATTACTGGTCTTGATTTTTAACTAGTTATTATTGACCATTAGATGGTGTTAACTAATATAATATTTATTTTGTAGGAGGATGAATAGGAACAATTGCTGCTTAAAAACAATAATATATTCTTTCTTTTCTCTTAAATTTAGGGCTTTTTTAAGATTATGTTTTGGTAGCATTTGGATTACATTTGCAGAAGGTCAGTTTTACCAAGCGTAGTATTTCAGTTTTACCTGTTTTATCAAATACACTGTTCTTGTTTGAGAGATTTGTCTAGATAGAATATTTTTATGTGTTTTAATTACTAACTACTGAAATAAAAGAATAGGTTTTCCTTAAAGTTTTCTTTAGGGTCTTCATTATATTCTCTTTGAATATTAATATTTCTTGTTAAGCCATTTATGATTCTGAAGATATCACAATACTGAAGGAGACTGAATTTTTTAAAAATTGTTTTCTTATGTTTCTTTTAGGGACACAGGATAGATATTTTACTAATATGGTCCCCTCCCCAAAAAAGAATTCTAATGAGCAGAATATCATGCAAAATTCTCCTCTATAAGCTATCAATATCATTTAAAAAATAGTTTTAACCATTTTTATAAAACAGGAAAGCTATTAAAAACTGCTAATAAAAAATAGGTGCTTATTTTTGTGCTAATACTAATTACTAATAATGCATGCTTATGTTTGTCACTCATTACATGGCCCTGTACCAATCAGTAGATGACTGAGACTCAAGTACTTACACATGTAAATTAACCATTAGATTTTTTTTTCCTTTTTTTTACTTAAGTGAGTCATGATGGAAAGCAACTCTAGGTCATAAAAAAATCTTTTCTCTTTAATGCTAATGAAATGTCTCCACTCTGTATTAGCAGACTACCCTTAGTGGTAATCTGTAGCCTTCTCTTTTGTTCCTGGTGGTAATGAAATGCTGGGTGATGAAAAAGCTCGCTCTTCAAGAATGTGTGGCCAATTGTCTTCTGTTCACTTATACTGTAAAATTACTGTTCCCCAGCAAAGCTGAACAAGTGCAAGGACAAGATCAAAAGAGTATGCATTGGCACCCAGCTACACCAAGTGACTCCTACTTTATTAATTAGCCATAGCTTCTCCAAGTTAATTTACTCTGCTATAGCAAAAACATTCTGTAATACAAAAACAACAAATTATAATTCAACCACCAGTCCTTATTGCTTGCTTTTTCAACTTTCAGTTTAAACCTTTGCACAGTGTTATAAACTAAATGTCCCTTCACTTATCTGAACCTTAGGGCACAAAAGCTGTTTTAATTTTTTCAAGAAAATCAGTGAGATAGTCAAATAATCATTTTTATTCTCTAAAATTGGGTGATTTTAATTAATAACCATTCTTTTTAAAAGTCAGTGTATTGGGAATCCAATTTAAAAGTGCAGTTGCTTCTAAAATTTGCAGGCTTGTTCTGTCCTCTCATCAGAAATGCCACTGGTGTTTAAGCATTTGAAAAGGGCCTTCTCTGTGAGTGTTTTGGCGGAAGCAAAATTTGACAGTGATCCTAAGCTCCAAATTAAATAATATCAGTACCACTTTCCTTTTCATTTTAATCACCACTTTGTAAGTTCCCTAAGTCTTTTTAATTTTTTTTTAGTTAATGGTTTAAAGTTAAAGCCTGAGACAGCAAAAAAAAAAAAAAAAAGATCTGCACATTCCCGTATCCTGGTTTTATTTGGTTTTGTTCAGGTGGGAAGGAAATAATTAAACTTTTGAGTGAGAGATCAGCTGAAAGAGAGAAGTAATTTAGACTTCTGTCACCCAGGTTGTTGTTAGTTGTATTATAACCATTTAGTTGGTCACTTTTACTATTTTGATCTGATTTGAAAGAATGTCCCTAGTTTCTGTGTACTTTAGCCTAGTTTAAAAATAAACAGTGTGATATATATTGTGTGTTATATTTTTGTGAATATAAAATAAGTTTTATTGCGATTACCTAAAATGTGCTGTTAAAGGAAGATCAAAACATTTTTACACTGAGAGTATCCAAAACTGTGTTGTTATATTCATAGGGTAAGGTGCAATAATTAATATCAACCTTCACTATATATTTATTTGTGAAGTCAACTTCCTTCCCTCCCTAATTTCTGTATTTCTTTGTGATTTTAAAAAGCTTTTTAAAAAAATTATCATAAAGATTGCTTGTTAATTGTGGATTAAAAAAATAATCTTAGAAAGTATCAGTGGTCATATTATCTCTGTAACTTAGATGAAATAGTTTTATCTGCATTGTTTATTTCTGTTTTAGTCAGAAGCTATTTTTTTTTTTTCAGCACCATGTTAACCATTCTTATAAGGTTGGTTTTTTTGTTTTTGGTTTTTTTTGTAGAAGGAATATTTGTGTTTGCGAAGGTTAGCAGAGGCTGGCTGTGCTGGAAATGACTGCAGTGCCTTTTGATTATTCATGGACAGTAATAGAAGGCACTTAAAAAGAACAATGAAATTGCTTATTTTTGTGATGGGCCATCTGTTGAATTGTTTTGTGCAACAATTGCACAATAGTATCTATGTCATATCATTCTATTTTCAACAGCAGCTGATTTTGTCTCACAGGCTACTTGTCCTTATTTCTAAAGTCCCATGACCATTTAAAGTCACCTTTTCAGGGACCTTTGCCAAAAAGGTGTTAGAAATCTCAAACAGCCTGTGTTTTGTTTTTTTTTTTTTTCCTCTCTTTTTTCCTCTCTCCTCTTTATTTGGGGAGAGAGACTGTAATGGGAGTAGGAGGGGGAGTAGGAGGGGGGAGTTGGTCATGTTAGTTCTAATTAGTTAGATTTCCTAAATGTTTAGGACAATTATCTGTGCTTTCCACCTGTAGTTCTATGAAAGAAGTTAACATAGAATCATTTAATAATTTGAGTAGAAATGATAGGCTTGCAAAAAAGAAGAGTCAAGTTTGACCGACTACAGTCTTTCATGCTTTTAATTATCTACTCTTTTCTTCATGATAATTAGAATTTTTCTCTTGGAATTCACTTCCACATTAAAAAAAAAAAAAAGATGAGCCATTAGCAAATTTGTTAGAGCAGAAGTGAAATTAAAATAAAACAAATGTGTTGCTGTCCATAGGTCACTGACATTGCTGATGCCATGATTCTGAAACAGCTTTTTGAAAATCTGTTCAAAAACGGGGTCGTCGTTGTGGCAACATCCAATAGGCCACCGGAAGGTAAAAACAAACATTGTGCTAGTCTTATCCAATTAGATGGAAATGAACAAGCTTTTAAAAATTCACAATTTTGTGCTCATTTTATTATGTTAATAAATCTGATGACTTTGTTTTATCCTAAGTTTTATAACTAACTTAATTTGAAAAATCAGTTGGTATTTATATTTGAAAATGTTTTAGCAAGCTAAATCCAGGTGCTCTCCTGTGTTTGATGCACTTGCAGTTTTCCTCTGAGTATTAGCTATGCATATTAAAAATACTGGCCTTTCTAACTGCTTTTTACGGGTCATAAAAGAAACTCAGTGAAATGAAAGGAAAAATTCCTAATTCAATCTTGGGAAAAGACTTAAAGCCTGCCTGCGTAAGTGGTTTCTGATACTTCATTTATCATTTCTGAAAAAGCACTTGTGGCTTATTAAGACATTGTTTAAGAATTAAAATATAAGAATATATAGATAAAAATAGCAAGTTAAAATCTTTTGTCTTTCAGCCCATCCTGTGGTCAATTGAAGTTTGAGTACTACCAAAAAATAGTATTTTATGTATTCTTAATTTTAACATCTGACTGGAATGCTATTATACAGATATCTGCATAGTTAAGTCCTTACCTCTTTCAGGTCTTTGCTCAAAGGTTATTTTGCCAATGACACCTAGACTCATTTCCCATTTGAATCTACAAACCATCCCATTTCCCCTAGCACTGCTTCTTCTTACCTGCTCTGTTTTTTTTCATGTAGCATTTATGATCTACCATGTATTTTATTTATTTCTTTTACTGTATTTATAGTTTATTATCTGTGCTTTTACAGGATGCAAAAGCTGCAGGAGGGAAACAACTTTTACCTCTTCTTTTCACATATATATGTATTTTAAGCACCTGAAACAGTGCCTTGCACATAATTGGATTTCAGTAAATAGTCTTAGACTGAATATTGAATAAATGTGTGTTTTTAAAGGTTCTCTCTGCAGTATTGAGAATAGATTGTGGGAATGAGATTCGCAAGGTTGGAAGTAGGGAGACCATTTAGGAGATGACTGTAATAATCCTGAGGGTGGATGATGGAGCAGTGAAGGTGGTGAGAGTAGTCAGGTTTTGTAGGCAGTCAAAAGGATTTACTGATGGAATGAATATGGGTTATTGAAAAAAAGATCAAGAATGGCTCAAAGATTATGACCTGAGCAATTGGAAGGTAAAAAAAAAAAAGATGAGCCATTAGCAAATTTGTTAGAGCAGAAGTGAAATTAAAATAAAACAAATGTGTTGCTGTCCATAGGTCACTGACATTGCTGATGCCATGATTCTGAAACAGCTTTTTGAAAATCTGTTCAAAAACGGGGTCGTCGTTGTGGCAACATCCAATAGGCCACCGGAAGGTAAAAACAAACATTGTGCTAGTCTTATCCAATTAGATGGAAATGAACAAGCTTTTAAAAATTCACAATTTTGTGCTCATTTTATTATGTTAATAAATCTGATGACTTTGTTTTATCCTAAGTTTTATAACTAACTTAATTTGAAAAATCAGTTGGTATTTATATTTGAAAATGTTTTAGCAAGCTAAATCCAGGTGCTCTCCTGTGTTTGATGCACTTGCAGTTTTCCTCTGAGTATTAGCTATGCATATTAAAAATACTGGCCTTTCTAACTGCTTTTTACGGGTCATAAAAGAAACTCAGTGAAATGAAAGGAAAAATTCCTAATTCAATCTTGGGAAAAGACTTAAAGCCTGCCTGCATAAGTGGTTTCTGATACTTCATTTATCATTTCTGAAAAAGCACTTGTGGCTTATTAAGACATTGTTTAAGAATTAAAATATAAGAATATATAGATAAAAATAGCAAGTTAAAATCTTTTGTCTTTCAGCCCATCCTGTGGTCAATTGAAGTTTGAGTACTACCAAAAAATAGTATTTTATGTATTCTTAATTTTAACATCTGACTGGAATGCTATTATACAGATATCTGCATAGTTAAGTCCTTACCTCTTTCAGGTCTTTGCTCAAAGGTTATTTTGCCAATGACACCTAGACTCATTTCCCATTTGAATCTACAAACCATCCCATTTCCCCTAGCACTGCTTCTTCTTACCTGCTCTGTTTTTTTTCATGTAGCATTTATGATCTACCATGTATTTTATTTATTTCTTTTACTGTATTTATAGTTTATTATCTGTGCTTTTACAGGATGCAAAAGCTGCAGGAGGGAAACAACTTTTACCTCTTCTTTTCACATATATATGTATTTTAAGCACCTGAAACAGTGCCTTGCACATAATTGGATTTCAGTAAATAGTCTTAGACTGAATATTGAATAAATGTGTGTTTTTAAAGGTTCTCTCTGCAGTATTGAGAATAGATTGTGGGAATGAGATTCGCAAGGTTGGAAGTAGGGAGACCATTTAGGAGATGACTGTAATAATCCTGAGGGTGGATGATGGAGCAGTGAAGGTGGTGAGAGTAGTCAGGTTTTGTAGGCAGTCAAAAGGATTTACTGATGGAATGAATATGGGTTATTGAAAAAAAGATCAAGAATGGCTCAAAGATTATGACCTGAGCAATTGGAAGGGTAACTTGGCTGTTTACTGTGATGGGAAAGACTATAGGAAAAGCTAATTTGAGAAGGGAGGTGGTTCTGAGGTTTCTATGGTTATGAGGCAGATGCATATAAATTTGGATTTCAAGGAAAGGTTTGGACTGGAGATAGAAATTTGGGAGTCATCTGTCCTAAAGGAAGCTGGTAAGAGCAGCCAGTGAGTAGGAGAGCCAAGAGTATGCTGAGCAAGGAAAAGGAAAGGGGTACAAAAAAGATGGATGATCACCTTTGTTAAATGCTGCTAGGAGGTGAAAAATGAGGTTGAGAGTTGATCACTGGAGTTGGTGACATGGAGCTCATCACTGAGCCTTGAAAAGAGCAATGTAATAGTGTGAGTTTTTTGTTTTGTATTTTTTTTTAATTGTCACGTCACATTACTGGCTTATAGCGAATTTGTAATCTACTAATATGCCCAGATATTACTATGTGAGCAGCTGTCAAACTCGGTCTCTCTCTTTCTCTATTTTTGTAGTTGATCTCTTTCTTCCTATTTTGGCTTATTAATTTGTCTGTGTTGTCCCATATTAACTGATTTATGTTGATATTTTTTGAAGTATGATTCTAACATTATTTTTAGCTACCCCTACTAGCTAAGACATTTATAAGCTTAGTAATTGTGCTTCTATATCTTCAGCTGTTCATTAATTAAAATGTGTAAATAGGGTTAGGCCAAGTTTAGATTCCTCTCATATACCATTAGGTGCCTTATTTTAGGGAAACATTAATTAGTTCATCAATACCTTAAGATCTAGTTATTCAAACAATTATAGTTGTATGTAATCTGTTACACTATAGAGAATTATGAATGATTTTTCAGATGCATTTATTAAAATCCTTATAATGTCCTATATCTCATTCTTGTGATTTACTAGTGTAACAGCCCTATGAGACAAGGCAATGAGTTTTTTCATATTAGGTCATCAGTGGGGACAGAAGGCTTGACTCTACTCCTGTGACTTGTTGACTTGACAGTATCTTCAGTATTACCTTTAGGCATTCAGGATAAGCTATGTTCATAAAGAAGGTGCTTGAACAAGCTTGGAATGACTCTCCAAGTAAAGACTGCTGAGAAGAAAATTGCAGGCGGCTGCTCAAACTATTGCAGTGTATAAACTGAGGAAGGACAACCACAGGAAAGGTTAGGAACATTCTAGAGCTCATAGCTTTGTAGGAATAAACAAAGTCACAGGCCCACTACGGAAGCACCTAGAAATCTGAGATGGAGCCGTCCCTATGGAGGAGACTGAAGGTCCAAGATGCAGGATTCCAAAAATTGGGCATTAGCCACAAATCTAAAGAAAGCCTTTTCTAAATATGAACCTAGATGGGATGCTTAGCATACACCAGGCTTTTTAACCATAGCAGACAATCAGTCATCATAAGTAACTTACTACTTTAATATAAAGAAGATGGAATATATGTTATATATATATATATATGCCATCTCCTGATGGTGTGTGTGTGTGTTTCTTCATGACTGAAGAAACAAGACTTAGGAAGATTAAGTTTGAATCTCAGGCAAAGGTAAATGTGTAGGACAAAGAATGGGTCAGTGGTTGCCAGGGGCCTGGAGTGATGAGGTGTTTGACTACAAAAGGCCAGCACCAGAGAACTGAGGGGGAGTTTGAAACTGTTTTGTATCCTGATTGTACTGGTGGTTACATGTGTTAAACCTCATAGAAGTGGACAACAAAAAAGTTAGTTTTCCTATTTATAGATTAAAAAGAAATCCCATGGATAGTGAGTGACAGAACAGAGGCTAGAATGAAGGTTTTGTGACTCTTTTGACACATTGTCCTCTATCTTTCCTTCTTGTTGGTCATCACTAATCTTTGTCTACCCCATCCCAGATACAATATGTTCTTTTTTCCAGCCATCAGAATGCATTCAACTTTTTATTTAGGTTACTGCTTTTAATCTACAGCCTCTGGATACTTATTATTTTCAAAATAGCTTCTGCTTATTCTCAGAGTGTTATGCAAGGTGGGAGAAGAACCTTCTTGGCAGAGGGTTGAGGCAAAGTGCAATGATTGGAGAGAGAATGACCTGTTTGAGGAACTGAAAGATAGCCAGTGTGGCTAGAATGCACTGATGAAGGGGAAGTAGTATACAGTGAGGTACAGGATGAATCTGGAGAAGTGAGAGCTAGAACTTTATAAAGCGGTAATAAGGATTTTGGATTTTATTATAAGAGAAATGGGAAGCCACTATAGTGTTTTAAGTAGGGACTGGTAAGATTGGATTTGGAATACCACTCTGGTTATAGTATGGAGAATGGGTTATAGGATGGGGTACAGTAATATGGTGGATTCAGGGAGACACACTAGTAGGTTATTGCTATATATACTAGATAAGAAATGATAATAACTTGGTATAAGGCAGTGATCTCATCTTGGGGGCTGTTTTGC